GGCTGAATGCGGAGCAGGTTGTAAGAAGCTGAAAAATAGCTCGAATAGCAGCATATTTCAAAAACGGTCGTTCGTTGACAAAGCTTCCGATGGCTTCTTTTTTCGAATTTTATTCAGAAGTAAACTGATGACGGGTATGACTACTCGGCGTATAGTTTAGACGCATTGTTGTTTTGTAGAATTCATTCTTGAAATTCCCACTGCTGTTATCCGATTCGTGCAAATTTTACATATTTTTCTGCGCAGAAAATTTTCCTTAAAAGAAAGCTGACGGCAGGTTTCGACAGAAGACACTGTGGAGATTGGCTCGGTTGCAGTTGGGACAGCCTGGTTCTCCAGTTCTGTAGCTGACAACTTTTTCGCCTGCTTTGACCGTTTGATGACCAACCTGTCCATTATTCTAATGTTCATTTCACATTGCCAAGGGATTATCTGCTAATAGGATGATGCTCTCTGTCAGCTTTTCACGGATTTTCACGATATCAATTCCCCCACAATACTGCTTTCATTCACAAACAAGCCTTTTAAAGCCTTATGAGTATTTACTACTCGCATTCCGGCATGTGTGCATTTGAAGCAAGCAAAATAAGGGGACCCTCTCACCGGCAACATTTAAACCCCAACAACTCATCGGGGTATGGGGACGATAACAGACTAAACAGTATCCAGATATGGTGGGGTGTAAACTCTGGCAACTCCAAATAGCTGGTCAAAGAGAGGCATGCTTCTTGATTCTACTGAATCACTGTATGGGTTTTTGTTTCCGTCCGAAAAATTGTTTTTTTTTTCTTTGATTTTTAAGGTATATTTAAAGCAACCGTACGTTAACTATGTATTGTTGTTGATAAAATAATTTAATAGTTGCAAATGCGTGACATCTATTGATGAACTTCATACAGTCACGGTGGTCCAAAAGATTTCAATGAAATTCCACACAGCTTCATTTCAAAAGCAAAACAAGTGTGTGCATCGTTCCGATGAAATTCATCTTTTTTTTTTCAACAATTAATTAACTGTGATACCAATATTCTCCTTATTTCTCGCACTCCAGTCTCATCCTACCACGAATACTAAGAATCCAAATAGGAAAAAACACCATTTTACACAAAAAGCGGAATGTAATGACTAAATTCGGAACTCGCACACAGTAATGGTACCACATAGACAACAAGCGAATCCAAGGTGGACTCCAGGGCATGGCGGTGGGCAATGGGGAAAATTTCAGCTTGAGACTCGGACTTTTGCAGCACTGTTGCCTGTGCCACTATGAGAAGGGAGGGGGGAGAAGGGGTCCCTCCCTGGATCCACCTATGCCATGAACAAACTGTTGCGAAAAAAAAATAATGTAAAAAGTGCACTGTGAAAAAATGAAAACAAATGATTGTGGTGCTCGAAAAGGAGGTTTGTTGCGACCATTTGTGCAAAGGAATGACTTGGGAGGAGATGACTTGGACGCCATGTTTTGACCTCATTCACACGTATTACCGCATTAAATCTGGGTCCATTAAGCAGATAGGCCCATCAATTAAGCGTTTTTAAATTCTCAAAGTAAAAAAAAAAACAAAAACAGGTGCATTTTCAGCTTCTCGCACAACAAATAAGTCATGGTATTTCAATGATAACTCAATCAACAGAGAAATGGACTGCTCACCTACAGGGATCTAACCAATTAAAAACTTAAGCCATCGCTTGCACCGGCTTCTAAACTAACGACATTGAGCTACATGGGAATCTGAGAGGCCCAATTCCTCATGCTGTGACCGTAATAAAAAGCAAAATTGCTTGTCATAGAAAGAGTTCGTCAAAAAATTTAGGTATTACACTAGCAGCAATCACAAGACACCGTCATCCTAATAAAAATATACCAGAATTCCGAAATTTCAGCTTTCCAGCTCAAGGTTCGCAGATGAAGCAAGGCGCACTGCTTCAGCTAGCAGCCTAGCAAATTTCACTAGTGCATACGCACTTTCACGGATCTGTGAGGTCTTTCTTAGTACAAAAAACTTTAACATACGAACATTAAAAAAAAAAAATGTTATACAATAAACACTGCAGTATGTACAAAACATTCATTTTCTCATAACTGAAGCAAACAAACAAGATGCTGTCAGTTCTTCCACAAAGCAATTCAATCGCCAGGAGAATACTGAGGCGATGATGGACTGTACTGTGGTGATGATGGCGAGTACTGTAAATAAGATAAAAGTAATTTTTCAAAACCAAAAAAAAGAAAAACCGAAAGTTGCTGAACGACCAAGAAAGACAGATGTGAAAATAGAATAAAAAGTACCTGTGGCGAACTTGGCGAATACTGAGGTGATGATGGACTGTACTGCGGCGAGGTCGGAGAGTACTAAAACAGCGATTGTTTTGGAACTGCTTTAACGACAACAATAAAAATGGAACCTTTTTTATGACTGGCTGGATCCTCTAAATGATTGGTTCAAAGCGTCGCCTGTTCCTAAGAAACAAATCTCAAACATGTGCAGCACGTGGATAAACCTATGTTCCCATTCCGTATCTACTGCAATCAAACAAGCAAGTGCCCAGGTAATGAGTAGTGTCTACTACTAGCCGTTTGTACCATTCATCAATATGGAATTTTTATCAGTTTTCGCTTACTTATGCAAGCGATTTCAAACTGTA